GCCTTGCAGGTTCCTCTCTCATCCCATGACCTTGTCACGGACTGGGTGCATCCCGGAAGCTCCCAGCAGGAAACAGTGGCAGACTTAATTTTTCTGGGCTCCAAAATCACTGCAGATGGTGATTGCAGCCATGAAATTAAAAGACACTTACTCCTTGGAAGAAAAGTTATGACCAACGTAGACAGCATATTGAAAAGCAGAGACATTACTTTGCCAACAAAGGTCCATCTACTCAAAGCTATGATTTTTCCAGTAGTCATGTATAGATGTGAGAGTTGAACTATAAAGAAAGCTGAGCGCCAAAGAATTGATGCTTTTGAACTGTGGTGTTGGAGAAGACTCTTGAGAGTCCCTTGGACTGCCACGGAGATCCAACCAGTCCATCCTAAGGGAAATCAGTCCTGAATATTCATTGGAAGGACTGAGGTTGAAGCTGAAACTCCAATACTTTGGCCACCTGATGGGAAAAACTAACTAATTTGAAAAGACCGTGATCCTAGGAAAGATTGAATGTGGGAGGAGAAGGGGACGACAGAGGTTGAGATGGTTGGATGGCATCACCGACTCAATGGACATGAATTTAGGTGAACTCTGGGAGTTGGTGATGGACAGGGAGATCTGGCATCCATGGGATCACAAAGAGTCGGACACAGCTGAGCGATTGAGCTGAATTGAACTGATACACTTTCTTCTGTCTCTATCATGGAACTCAGAATTTTCTAGTAAGTGTGACTTTCCTGACAACCATAGGTAATATCCTTTTCTAGTCTTCTGTAGTCTAGCCTGCTGTGTCTTGTCTTAGCTTAAATGTGGTAAATATGGCTACATCATGTTGACTTTTTAAATTTTGGGGTATTTCAAATGAACTGAGTGTTTTTTAATTATTTTGAATTTTTTCTAGAGCCACAGAGGAAGACTTTAAATGAAGTATCAGTGGTATAATGCTGAAATTAAAGATTCAGGTAAGCTGTACCACCTGGTTGTTGTTAATAATAATGATTCTGAACATCTTTTGAACACTCTAAGGCAGTACTCAGTAGACTGCTTTGTTTACATGAATTAACATATCCTCTCAACCTGTGACATTATTACTGCCATTTAACAAATGAGAAAACTGAGGCACAGAAAGGTGAATCAACTTACCCAGTGTCTAAGGGTTTGTGTTCATAGATTTGTTTTAAATGGGAATTAAAAAGAAGCAAGTGAGTCATAATTCCATACTAATATAACATCTAGAGCATGCCAGAATTTAGGCACTGAAAGACAGCATTAACAATTCAAACTTTCTTTGCTGAAAAGGGTTGGAAACTTAAATATTTTTATTAATAATAATATTTTCCATGCATTTCTCACAGCACTGAAGCTTGAAATGAGTGAGAGGCCCTCCTTGAAGTAAAATCTCATTATAGTGAGATAAAGGAGAATGATAAATACTTATTCATATTGAAAATGTAATAAAACAGAAACCACATCCAGATCCACTTTTATAATATTAAATTTGGAGATTTTAAGAAATTCCTAATAATTTTATGTCTCCTCTTTACCATTACAGTCCTGAAGATAGACTATACCTTAGTTTAAAAATAAATAAAAATGTGATTGAGTGCCAGCTGGTAAATGTATGCAGTCTGCATTAGGAAGTAATGCATAAAATAACTAAAAGTCCTATACCTTAACTTTGAGGCAGAATTATACATACTATGCATGCATGCTCAATTGCTCAGTCGTGTCCAATTCATTGTAACTTCATGGACTGTAGCCTGCCAGGCTCCTCTGTCCATGGGATTTTTGAGGTAAGAATACTGGAGTGGATTGCCATTTCTTATTCCAGGGGATCTTTCTGACCCAGAGATCAAACCCGCATCTCCATGTTAGCAGGTGGATTATTTACCATTGCGCCCCCTGGGAAGTTCTACTATATATATACTACATGGCATCAAATATGTCATAACAGGGACGACATGGCTGTTGGTTCCTGATTTAAATAATGCTCTGTCATATTATAGGAAAAAGTTCTGTGGTAGGCAAAATAATGCCCCCCAGCCAATATTCCCATATCTTTATCTCTGGAACATGTGAATATGTTAGGTTACACAATGAAGAAGAATCAAGGCTCTAAATGGAGTTAAGTTTCCTAGTCATCTGATCTTAAATTAGGAAATTACCTGAATAGGATCAGTACAATCACAAGGAGGGCTTACCATGTGGCACAGTGGTAAAGAATCTGCCTGCCAACGCAGGAGATCCAAGTTCAATCCCTGGATCGGGAAGATCCCCTGGAGGAGGAAATGGAAACCCACTCCAGTATTCTTGCCTGGGAAATCCAAGGATAGAGAAGCCTGGTGGGCTATAGTCCATGGGGTTGCAAAGAGTCAGACATGACTGAGGGACTGAGCGTGCACAGATACACACACACTCACACACACACAATCAAAGGATACTTACAGACAGAAGAGGTCATAGTGATACTCAGGAAGGACTCACCTGATTTTATTGGCTTTGAAGATGGAGTAAGGGGTCCATGAGTCAAGCAATGTGAGCAGCCTCTAGAAGCCAGAAACGGGAAGGGAATGGATTTCCCTCAGAAGCCTCCAGAAGGAAGCACATCCTTTATAACACCTTGATTTTTGCACAGTGATAACTGAGTTGTATTTCCTACCTATAAAATTGTATGATAATAATTTGTGTGGTTTCAAGTCACTTAAGTTCATGAACACTTTTTACACTGGCAAGAGAAAATCAATACAACATGAAAACTGGAATGTGATTAATGAATGGATTGGAAAATCAGGGACTTGAAGAAGGATAGCAGACCACGCAAAAACGTTTCCCCAGTCTTTGTTGGTAAGTCCAGATAAATTCAAACAGTGAAGTTCAAAAGTGTTAATAATGACAAATTAGTATTCTTCAATAGTTTATAACTTTCTATTCAGTTTGACTTTCAAGAGATCTGTTTTTATTGAAGATTAAATGCTCAATTGCCCTCAAAAAACAAGTAGAGACAAAACCTGGGTACCTACCAGAGAAAGGGCAGCCCCTGCCAGCTGCTTCCACTTTGTAAATCTCCTAAGATGCAAATATCATCCAAATAGCCCCAGTATTCAGAATAGGAACAAAAAGATGTTTATTTTACAAAAGAACAAAGAACC